AACAAATTGCAGAGAACAAATTAGGTCTTTCACCAGGGTCGAAGAGGGTGGTTGGATAATTGCTCGGTCTGTACAAATTGAGATTAAATAAATAAAAATAAAACCCAAAAACCCAACCTCTCTCTGCTTGCTGTTGCTGGGGAAAAATTAAAAAAACCCTCGTTTGCAAAAAAAAAATCTCATCTGCTTGTTAATTTTTTTTTTTTTTTCTTCGTTTAAGCATTAAACTTCCCTTGGGAAAGCCTGCGATTCATTTCATTTCTTTTCCCAGGTCATCGAACTTCTTCCGTCGCGAATTAAAGGCGTTGCAAGAGGGGGTTTGGCGCAGGATCGTTGGCTCCCAAACGAACGGTCCCCCCCCTCGATATTATCGGCTGGATTTTCTCCGGTGAAGGCAACGCCCAATGGCTGGTCGGTGAGAATCAAGGCTCGGAAATTCAGCCTAGAAAGGAAAATGCGCAGGGTTATTAACCGGCAGGGCGATTAATTAGCCGGCAGGGTAATTAGCCATTGGTAAGGATTTCCATGAGGCACGGTAAATCGTCGTCTCTCCGCCTTTTAACAACGGGGTGGGATCGCGGCGTCATTGGCGGCGGCGTAGACTCTACAGGTGCCACATGGTGAAATCACGAGGATTCGCGCCTTCCTCTTGGCCGGGCTTGCTCCCGAAAGACAAAAAACCCAGGATTTCCCCCCAAAATCCTTCCTAAATCCTGCTCACAGCCTTCTCCTCCCCTGTGAAGGACGGCGGATGGGGACCACCAACTCCTCCGGCCAAGTGGCCTCTCAGAGGACGAGCACGGCACGCAGCGCGCCAGCCTCGATCCCCCCTCCCCCTTTAATTGGCCCGATTGAAAATTAAAGCTCGCCCAGCCATCACCGCAATGCTAATTAACGTTAACGAGCAATGGCCAGGTACACAAGGTTGTTCTCAACCCGCTACAAGCGGTGGAACCATTCGCCCCCTTGGCGGCGAGGACGCGTTGCTCTTGGTCAACTTGGTGGCCACCAGGCCCCCTTGATGAGGTTGCCCCATCAGCCAGGTCATTAATTGAGCAAGGTCAGAGGCAGGATTGACACCCCCGAGGTTACACCAGCATCCAGCTGATGGCTTTCGACCACCAGGGAGCCAACCCGGGCCACAAGCATGGGTTGATTTGATCCCAACCAGACCAGGGGTTACCACAGGGATGGAAATTGGGAAGATTTCGTTAAAAATCCAGCGGTTTTTTTTCTCCCGTAAGACTTGAATTCGGGGCTTTCATTAGTAAAGTTTATTAATCCCACTTCCTGATGGCTGCCGCAGCCTGATTTAATTTTCTGTTACGTAAAGGACTTGCTCTAAGCTTAGCTTAAACGCAAGAAGGCTTTGCCGTTGCGTTGAAGGCAAGAGCGATCTCGTGTTTTCTTCAGGAGGGGCAGTCAACGGGCAGAGCTGGTTTACGTTTAATGAGCCCTAACGATCATCGCTGAGGGGTCTTTGGGTTCTTCTTCTTGGGGGGAGCATTTGGAGTCCCCCCAGTGGCACGGAAACCGGGGACCAAACCGCCGTCGGGGTCCTGGAAAGCAAAGCCCAGCTTTTGGGGGGAAAAGGAGGATTTTAGAGCATCTTGACGCATCTTAACGTAGGCAGGCCCAGAGCGGCGCCGACGTTTGGCTTCCAGAAACATCAGCCAGGCTTTCATTCGCCCTCCACCACGCAACCTAACGAGGAGGGCGAAGAATTGGGGTTCCTGGAGCCGAAAACATCAAAACCCAACCCCTCTGATGCCTGTTGCCATGGCAGGAGCATCTCCTGTCCCACCTCGCTGCCATGGCAACGGGGACTCGTTAAGAGCATCCCCCCACACACCCTAAATTGGGGGAGACGGC